GTTCCCGTGACCGAAAATACCTTTTACCTGAAACTGCCAGTCGGTGATGTTATTTATTTTGCTGCTTTTGGTGAGCCTGATGTGTGTCTGCATAACAGCTTCAACCTCGGGGGTGACTAAACCCCTGTGCTTGGTGGACTTAGTTCTTCTGGCAGAAAACCATCGAGTCAACATGCGTTGGATGAACATGAAGAGCTCAACAATTGGTGAATCTCTGGATTTGGTTAAGGCGTTGTTAAGCTGCTCTACGACGTTGCTTGTAAGGAGGTTGTATCGGTTTCCTGGAAAGTATGTCCTAGACCACCTAGAAGTACCAATGTCTTCAAGGTATTTAGCACATGAGGAACTGGCTTGCCTTATTTTACCAAAGTTGTCATCGAAGTCCTTGCGTTTGTAGGAGAATGCAGCTGCACAAACCATTTTCGCCAGCCCTTTGCTCATGTAACGAGATACAACATTGCGCATTATATGGACAATGCATGCGCCGTGGTGTGCCTTGGGGAAGATGAGTTTGACAGCTTTAACGAGTGATATGTGTCGGTCATAAATAATAGAAAGGGTATTGGAATCAGCTATAATCCTCTCCAGCTTAGAAAGAAACCATACCCATGAACTATCAGTCTCTCCGTCGACGACAGCGAAAGCTAGAGGAAACACTTGGAAGTTGCCATCTTGGCCGCTGGCTGTGAGAATAACCCCTTTATGCTTTCCAGAAAGATGTGTGCCATCTATAATAAGGACATGTCGCACACGCCGGAAACCCTGAATTGAAGCACCAAAGGAAAGAAAAGCATAGAGAAAACGAGTTTCACCAAAATCATCTAATTCAGTCTCTATGGCAGTTACCGTGTCGGGGTTTGTGGCTTTCAGCCTCTCAAAGTAAGAAGCTAGGCTGAGATATGACTCCTCTGGATTGCCAACAGTGAGGTCGAGAGCCTGAGATTTTGCCATGTGGCATTTCATGTATGAGGCACAGATGCGGAGGTCCTCAAGTACCAGCTGCTGCAGCTGCGCTGCTTTAGGACCCTGGTTTGACTCTCCAAACCGGGAACGGTAGACATGGGCAATGACTTTGGAGGTGGCCCTTTTCTTGTAGTCATTGCGTAGCTCAAAGGGGCAGGTGTGGTTAAGTTGTGCCTTCTTGATGGTGTAGTATCCACAACTTGTCAGTTCCTTTGCTAGAATGCGCCAGTCACATTTTGTGTCATGGCAACTAAGCACAAAAGAATACCTTGTGGTCCTCGTCTGTCTGAAATGGAACCATTTTTTGATTGCGTATATTGCTAAGCTGATTTGGCAGTCTTGTTTGTTAGCATATAATTTACCAACAGTAGGTTCCACATCGGATTCCTCCCAATTAATGTCTGGGACGGCATCGGCTTGGTATGAGGTATCATCGAACAAAGGTGGTAAGTCGAATTCCTCATCGCTAATCTCAGAAAGTGGCCTTGTCTCGCGAAATGACGGAGGGGTGGGTGGCGGTGTGTGAGAAGCACTTGTGTACGCTGCATTTGGTGTACATGTAGGCGATGCGCGGCTTGGTGTACGTGTGGACGCTGAATGATCGTGTCCACGGGGTGAATCTCGTTGGTGTACACCGAGGGAGTCGAGATATTTCTTCCAATCAGTTGAATCATCGCGGGACAGTGGGACTGTATCACCTGTGGAGCGGTGGACGACGTTGGGTGCTGTCTTCGGGACATGGACACCAGCCATGATGTCAGCTGCATCGGAGCCACCGAGTGAGTCATTTAGCAAAGGCTCCCAAAAGTCTTTATCGTAACCACGAGGCGGTACATATTCAATGTCTGGAGGTTGAGAACTTTCTGAAGCAAGCTCCTCTACATCGTCAATTATCCAATCGTCGGGGATGTTATCAGGGTCTTCATTGAACATTTGTTCTAACATTTCATCGCCACAAGACAGGGTTTCGTCATTTATGGATACGCAGTGAACCTTTGGAGGGGCGGAAGCAGGAGTACTAGTCCGAGCAGAGGGTTGGGGGGTTCTGGTATCATGTAAAGGATTTGTGGGACTCTCTTGAAGGAGCTCATCTTCATCAAACAGCGAGAACGAGGGGATCTTGGATGAGGATGTGGAAGATGGGCGAAAATGGCGGAGGTTGTGATTTGTAGTTTGGTTTGGTGTTGTGAATGAAAGAGGGTTCTGATCAACTTGTCTCGTTTCCTGCTCGTCTCCTTTGGTGTCGAAAGTGACAAACAGATTCATGCTTCTGTGAGAGGCCAAATGATGGAAGAAGTATGCAACTGCTCCGTCGTTGGACAAAATAACCGGTGGTGTGGTCAGTCCAGTGGCGAGTTCTTTGGTGTTGGGTGGCCAGTAGCTCAAAACAGCAGGCGGTGGGGGTTCAGTGAAGGTGAAGAACTCCTTGACAACGTTTTTTTGTAAGTCACACAAAGACATTCCGGGGCAAACGGGAACAATTCTTGACATTTTTTTCTCATCGATGGAGAAATTCCACAGTGAGTCGCGGGAGTTCCATTCGCCTGGAATGACCATGCAATGATCTTCCATGGCGGACCTGTATAAAAAAAAAAATCACCTAATGTATGAGCTCAAGCTCTTGGTAGAACTTAGGTTGCTCGGTAATTAGATAATTATTTAAAAGAAACCTGCAATTGAGGAGCCTGGTGAATGGGTTATGAAGAGTGAATATTAGATTATGGGTTAATCAGAATTTGGTAATCTGTTTTTGCTAAGAACGGTCGACGGAAACCAGAGACAAAAAGCGTAAAATGGTGAAGATAGAGGAGATGTGTAAACTTCAATCAGGACCGTCGATGCATCAGTAAATCCAACGGTGAGTAAAGGTGGCAGATATATGTCTTGTCCAAATTGTACAGCTTCAATATGGACCGTAGATGGGGGGAGCGAGATGTGTGGTCATGTTTTTTTCCCGCTAATATACAGTTTTCCTGGTCTCCTTGGTGGACGACATAGTTAACTTCTAATTAATCTGATGTGCTAATAAAACAACAGTTACAAATAAAGTGTCCGTGTATTGTTAAGTGTCCCAGAATGTTAGAGATAACTCAATAACTGCCTCTAGGTGTAATTTTTTCGAATTATTATTTGCAGTAGTTGAAACTTATTTGATACACACGTTACTAATGATATTCATGTTTCTTTCTTTCCTAACAACAAAATATACTGCTACAATATATTGTACGTGTGGTAGTCTGTTGACTATGCTTGTACCCATAAATATTATCTTCTTGCTTTTCACTTTTGTCGTATAAACTGATAAAAGTTATATTTTTGCTTACTTCCATGCTCGCAAGAATCACAGACACATCATCATGGAAAAAAGCAAATACAAAGAAAGGAAGATGGAATAATAATGCATCAAAATACGCTATACAAACAAATAAATCATTCGCTATCTTTCTTCTAAAATGGTTATTAAAGAAAAAAATGTCATTGAATCGTACAACGAAACATAAAAGAATGAATGAATCTTTTGAAAAAAGAAAGGAAAGTGTCGGGGGCTTTTTCTATGAATAAGCTACTCAGTTTTCTTATTCCTTTGATTTTTCCTTTGTCGTGTCTCTTCTCTCCTCTAAAAGCCATTCTTCTTTCATTTTCTCACGTTCTCTGTCTCCTGTTTGATTTCCACCAATTTGAAACTAATTGTGGCTAAGAGCAACCACATTGCATATTTTATTAAAATGGAATTCTCAACTAATTTATACTTATATTTTAATATAATATAATTGTTGAATTAAATTGAAGTGTTCACAAGAAGGTTTATAGTATCTGAAAGTATTTCTCTTTACATATTCGTCTCAATATCTCCCCTATTTCCTCTTTTTAGGTCATCCACAATGGAGGTTCTTCAAGTGGAGTATTTTCTCAATTTATACCAATGACTGTATTATTGTTATACTTATATACAGTGTGGTATGTTTCTATTTTATAAAATATTAATTATAAATATTGGTTTTTATGAAATCTAGGTCGGCCCTTTTCTCTCATTTTTGGTAATGAGGAATTGGCCTTTACTCTGTCATTGAACTTTCAATCAACCAAAGATACATAATTGCATTTTCACCAAGGATTTCAAATTAAATAAAAAAAGTTCCTAAATATGTACATTAGTTTAGAATTTTTGACCCAATACAAACAAAACAAATATAGTTAGTTCATGATTTGGAAATTATGTTTCACTTTCTTATTTATGTTCCTAGTTTTTAAATGTAAACATTTTAGTACTGAATCCTTGTACTAATATATGATGTTACGCACTAAAACGATATTTAAGCCCTGCATTTTACTTAAACAGTAAATATTAATTATTTGTGATGAATTGTGAACGCTAAAAAACAAAGCGAAAGTACCTGAATTTGAATGAATTTTGTGTATGATTGATGTAATTAGAAATGAATTTGAGGAACAAAATTTATATGTGAATAGAAAATGTAAAGGCATGTTGTTGGCATGCAAGTCAAGAGAGAACAAAACGAGTCCCAAACCAAATTCGTCCCTTTTTCTTAGTCACTTCAACATCAACTCAATTCTTTTTGTCTCTCGCACATTTATAACTCAAAGATACGCATGCTAGAATTGACAACTATATAATATTACAGATGATGTGTATTATATATACATATTTAATAATTTGTAATATTTTAGTAAATTTCTTTTAAAATAGATAATTACGCCTTTACAAAGTTGAATAGTAATAACGAGTTATCAGTGTGGTAACACTAGATATCATCACTAGATACATTCAGCAACCAAATCAAGCGAGGTTTCTAATCCAAAACCCTAACTCACTACATCCACATAAATGTTAATCTGGTGAACAAATTTTATGTGTCTGTGTAATCTTATATTTTTCAAATTTTTGTTTTGAGCGTTTCAACATTTAAAGAAAGTGGTCCAAAGTGCATTTTAAGGCAAACGCTTATGAAATGTAACATCAACACCATAAAGACACGCCTGCCCTCACTCCCAAACAACAACCTAGTTAATTAATAATTTTCCTCACTACAACTTCTTTGATTAATTAATCTAGTTATCTAATAACACAAAAACATGTTGCTCTTGAAAAGTCTTAGTAGGATTACTTCTTCAATGGAAGAAACTCATAGAAACAGTGAATGCCACTCTCTTTCTCTTTCCCACCATCGTCACCATTGCTACAAAACCCTTCTTTTCTCAATGGAAACAACTCTAGTGTCTGTTCTTGATTATCCAATTCACCGTCAAAGCAATCTTCATGTTGTTCTTTGTCTTTAATATCACAAGTTTCTGTGTTAGTTGCTGCTCTTGTCCTCATAAATAAAGGTGAAACTGAGACCGTATCTTTAGCAGCAGAAACAGTACTGTTGCTAGTGCACAAGTTAGACGAAACAGCAGTGGAATTGAGAATGATTTGATGATGTTGTTGTTGTGAAGAAGGACAATGTCCATGTGTCAGCTGCATCATCGGCCACATGGCATTTCTTCCAGAAAAGCTTTGTCTCTTGTCTTCTAGGCGACGACCATTGTGCTTCGTTGCTATTGAGACAGGCTGCTCCTGATGATGATGGTCATGAGGTTTCTAATATGCAAAACAAAATTCAAGATATTTTTAAATTTTAAAATTAGTCAATAAGCATTGGAAAATATAAAACTTGCTAACAAATAAGTCAAAAACTTGGCAAATCGATAAATATGCTTAAAAAACCGAATCACATTGACCCGAATATAATTTCCAGAAAGGGACATGAGTCAATGAGTAAAAAACAGTCTTTCGAAGCATGTGTTGGAGTAAAAAACACACTAATTTATGGAAATTCAGCAAAAAAAAAAACGAAGTGAAAACCAAAATCGTACGTAGCTGCTGTCCCGACAAAAGGAAAGTGTCTGCAGCTTTTTTGGATCAATAGCTTTATTATTTTTTAAATATATATAATTCTCTGCTAACAAACAAACTTATTTTTGCATTTCTAAATAACATCCTCTCTTTGCCTTTGTTTTTTTTTTCAAAAATTACTAAAACTTCCAAAAAGAGAATGCACTTATTCTTAAGAGAATTCTCTTTGTAATCAATCATATGACAATTATACCATACCATAAACCCTTAACTACATTCCCTTTCATCAAAAAATAATAATTTTTTTTTTGGTCAACTAAAAAATAATAATAATGAATAGGAAAAACAGATGTAAATATTCGCATATACCTCTGGTTGTGTGTCGCATCCGATCGAACATATCCAGTTCTTGGTCTGTTCAACCTTGTAACCTGTCAAATTCAAATAAAACCTACGGTAAGATTTAATGTCTTCAAATCATATAATGTTTCTAATATTATGGTCTCTCTACCTGGTGGATATTTCTTGTCGAACCCGTGGTTTGAGACAAGATTTGTGGTCGTGAAGACTGATTCGTCGTGGCTATTTTCCATCTGCCTTCGCCTTTTTTGGCGTTCACGGGCTTTGTGGTTTTGGAACCAATAGAAAACGTTTTTGCCTTCGATCTTACCGTACCGTCGTAGCTGCGCGGTGATATGTTGGATATGGTCGGCCGAAGGAGTTCTAGTTCCTTGTTGGTAAAGCTCTTCAAGAGCCTTTAACTGATCCGGTGTTGGATTCCACCGTGAGTTAACCATTACCGGTGAATGTTGAGTCTCTGAGTTTAGCATCATCAGCTCCCTCTTGTTCTGCTCTGCTGTCATTGTCGTCATCACTGCTTTACAGATCATAATAAGCAAGAAAGTAAAATGAGCATGTTCAAAAAAAAAAAAAAAAGTAAAATGAGCATTGACCTTTATCTAGATAACAAGAAAAATATATAAAAATAAAGAGAGAGACCCATGTTAAAGCGGTGGTCGGAGTTGGTGTTTGCGGCGAGGGTAGGGCAAGAGGAGAGGCGTGGGATAAGAGGACGAAGCTTTCTTCCTCCGTTGAAGGAATCTGCACCTCCTTCATTGTAACCCATCATCCACATTTTGAACTATCTTATTTTTTAAGTGTATACTTGAGCGGAGAGAGAGAGAGATAACAACTAGATGTTCATAATATAAAAAACTAGATATTAGGGTTTTGTTTATTTTATTGAAATTTAGGAGATGAGAATTATATGGTAGAAGGAGGAAATAGACAAATATATAGTAGAAAGTGCTATTGGGTGGTTTGAATGTTGAGATATCTTTGTATGTGTGAATGGGAGCATGCAAATGGGGTTTTTGCAAGCACACGCATATGTGTATGTATATATAGTGAGAGAGATAGACCATCTATAAGGCATTCTTTTAAATTGTTTATTTTTTTTACAAATTAACATACTACATATGGATAGAATCATATTTTTTTTATTCATTTTATTATATAAACTCATAACCGGATTTCACAAACAATACATTTTATATAAAAGAAGTATATTACATCAATATAATTCTTTTAATTTGAACAAAAAAGGATAGAATTTTTTTTGCATGAATAAATAATAAGTTAATTGTGTATGTGTATAAATATTAATTCGCTATGGCATGTAGATCTGATTGACTACATATATAATTAACAATGGAACCTGTATATTTTTCATAGACATTAGACCCGGATGCATCCATACTTAAATGAAAATCTTCTCTACTCCAATTTGTTCACTATAGCCTATAACTAAAAGAGGTTATAGTTCAGGAGTGCTTCTTTGAACATGTGGTACTAAAAATGTGTAGTACAAAATATTTTTAAACTCATGTTAATTTGCGGACGAGTACACTTAAGCACATTATAATTTAGTACACAACTGACAATACCTACAAATAGGTGAGATTCCAAGAAGAACACTAGTACTAATTAAGCGATCCAATAAATGCATTAATTATATTGCCTCTCCAAGGACACCCGATAACATCAAGACCAATCCACAAACACAAGGATTATCATGACGATCTACTAGATGACAGAAAATTATTTGATACTACTAATTAACTACATCGCCGGTGTTCGATTTCACTAAACGATTTTTGGAATGATGTAACTATATTCTTATTTTATATTGAAATCTCATACATATATGCATACAGAATACATCAATATAGCTACTAGAATATAGTAGTATTATTATGAATGAAAATTAAAAGGAAGAAGATGAGATTGACTATGACTAGTAGGAGTGGAGAAAGAAGAGAAAGGAGAACGTGGAATTCTGGGAAATGAATGATATGGGAAGATGCGAAGGAGCTTAAAACGACGTGACATTCTCCCATCTGTCTCCATCACTCCTTTTCTTTCATTCCTTTTTCCCCTTTTTCAATTTTACTATATACAAATTATGAGAGATTAATGTATGGGTGTGTTGTGGCTTTCACTATTCTTCTTGTTCTCAACTGCCCCATTGCTTTGTTTACTTTACACTCTTCACCCCTTCTCCTTTGTCTCTCTCAAACCCACTTTTCCATAAAACCCTTTTCTTCTCTTTGGGATCTTAAATCCCCCTTTTCTGTCTTTTCCCAAGCCCTAATCCATTTATTTTACCCCATTTGGATGTTTGCAATATATGTTAATCCTTAGTTTGTAAAAGTGTGCTAATTAATATCATGTATTTTCTTTATTTGTTTTAATGATCATGTGATAGAACAAATGGATTTCAAGTAGGCCTGGGCATTTTACCCGGACCCGAAGACCCGAACCGGAACCGACCCGAAAATACAGGTTCGGGTCCGGGTCCGGGTCCATGCTGAAGTACCTATTGGGTCCTTTTTCTTTGGACCCGCGGGTCTCGGATCGGGTCCGGGTCCTACCCGAGACCCGTTCGGGTACCCGTAGTACCCGCAAATTATTGCATATATAAGGTATATTTAGGTGTTTGGGTATATTTTTGGTATTTCGGGTATTTTTAAAATTTTCGGATTAGGGTTTTCGAGTATAATTTTAGGTTTCGGGTAAAATTTTAGATTTTCAGAAAATATAATTCGGGTATTTGGATAAAATTTTGGGTATTTTTTGGGTTTTCGGGTCTGAATTTTTATAATTTTTGGATATTTTCGGGTATTTCGGCGGTTCTTCGGGTAATTTTCGGATTTCCGGGTCTACTTTGGTTATTCGGGTCCTTTTCGGGTCCTAAATACCCGAACCGAACCGGATCCGAAGTATACCCGAAAATTATGGGTATTTTACGGGTATTGAAATTATAGACCCGAACCGACCCGGATCCGATAAGACCCGACCCGGAACCGGCCCGAAAAGTTATAGGTACCTATATGGGTCCAAATTTTCAGGACCCGAAAGACCCGGACCCGACAAGACCCGACCCGAACCCGACCCGAGGACCCGGATGCCCAGGCCTAATTTCAAGCAGTGGCAGAGACAGAAACATATTCTACTAGAGTTATAAACTAAATAATAAAATATAAATAAATATTAATATTAATTAAAATATAAAATCCTATACAAAATATTTATGTATACACAGAAAATTTCAAACAATAATTTTAAATGGTTGCATATAAAATACCATTTATATAAATTTTATGTTGTATGAAATTTTTTTATTTCATTAATTTGCATGGCATCATTATTTATTTAAAATATTATTTAGAGAAAAACAGACAAAGATAAATTAATTAAACAAATTATATTTTCAGAACTAATAAAACTATATAAATTTTATTACAATAGAAAGGATTCAGAGTACACGAAACTATACAGTGTTTTATCATAAATAGAAAATATTATAACAGAATATATAAAATTAAAAATCTAGTCAAAAAGATACATCATCACGCAATAAGAAGATATTAAAGACTACATAAAACGAAAGAATACGCTCATTTAAAGATCAACAATTCAACCGGTTTTTATTCCAAAAGAAAAATGAAAAAGAAGATTTGAACTTTGGTGGGGTTATGCGAGATTTTTGAAGAGGGTCATTTACCATCATAACTAACAAATTTTTTCATATTTCCTTGCTAACTAAAATATTTATTGAAATCTATTAGGGTCAGTTGACCTCACATCCTTTTAACTAGGGCCATGTTCGTTTCTTCATTCAACTGAGCCATTTGGATGAAGCTAAGCATGTTGTTCGTTTCGACACAAAATGTACGGCTCATTTGAATGGTTCAGTTGAGTGATTTTTGAAAATCTAGTTTTAATTTGAAGAATCAGTTGACTGAACCGAATCAGACCATTTGACTGAACCTGGTTCAGTTGAAATCATAAAATGTCGAGATTACCCTTAGTTCAACTCAAATATTACAAACTTAATTTTTTTTATATCTTTTCATTCTCGTAGTTTCTCTTTGCCGTCGTCTCTCAAATCTCCTTCTCTCGCCATGAAAGGAGCTTGAAGCTCTCACCACCGTCGCTCTCTCATCTCTCTCGCTGTCTCTCATCTCTCTCGCCGTCTCTCTCCGTCTCTCATCTCCTCACTGGTCTCCGTATCTCTCTCTCTCTCCGCATCTCTCTCCACGTCTCTCTCTCTCCACGTCTCTCTCTCCACGTCTATCTCCGTCTCTCTCTCTCTCTCTCTCGCCTCAGCTCACTCACTCTCACGCATCTCTCGCTCTCTCTCTATATCTCTGGAGCTTGTGTGTTCATAGAGAGATCTCTGATTTTTCATGAAATTTGATTTGTTTGTTGATGGGTTTGCTTGGTTTTTAGAATGTGTTCATGAAATTTGATTTGTTTGTTGATGGGTTTTCTTTTGGTTCATATGGTTCATCACTTGCTTGAGATTACTTAGCTGGATTCATATGGTTCATCACTTCATTTTTCTGTGGTAAACAAAGGCCTTGTAATTACCCTGTTACTTTGGTCTTTGGTTTCGCTAATCTCACTAGTAGTAGTAGAGTCCTTCTCTTTTTGCTTGTTTTGATTTGGCTCCTCTTGCTAGTTAGGCTTTGTTACATCATTCACCATAGTGTCTTGTTCTCTGCTTGTTTAGTTTCAGAGAAATTATTTATGAAACCTCTTTTTGATGCATTTTTTTGTATGCGACTTGTAGATTATTGCTGCAATGACCTCTGTCCCTGGTACTAATGTAAGTACATTCTTTAACTGAATGGTTCTCTTAGTTAAGTTTAGTCTCTGGTACTGGATATCTGAATGGTTCTCTTAGTTAGGTTTAGTCCCTGATACTGAATATTTGAATGTTATAAGAGTCTTGCATGGACTGATGAGCAAACCCGGTTCTACCTCGAACTAAGAGTTAAGGAGAAGCTGGAAGGAAATGAAAGAAAATGAAATCGTAATGATGTTGGGAGACAATCCATTATCGACAAGTTTTATGAAGCTTATGGGGAAAGGCACATTTGGAGAAAATTTGGGATCAAGCACACTACTTGCAAAACTCAGTATTCTAGGTTCAAGCGGTTGATCCACAAGAGGACCAGACTTGGCTATGATTCAAATGGGTACGTCAACATGTCCGATGACTGGTGGAATCAACTTGTTAAGGTACAGTCTCTGCTTGTTATTTATTGTTTGTGGTTGCTTGTTTATGCTAAGTGAAATGTGAATTATAACTAATGGGCATTGCTGTTGTTAAGAACCAAAGTCACATCGTATGAATTATAACTAATCAGTATTGTTTTAACCATCTTCTGTTTTGGTTCCTCATGTATGTGGTATTGTTGTTGTTGCTGTCTCCTCATGTTTGTGAATTATAACTAATGGGTATAGCTGTTGTTTCGTTTGTGGTTTTTAGGAACGGCCAGAAACTAGAAAACTTAAAGAGAATCCACTAGCAAATATTGACTTGTTGGAGAAAGTGTTTGGAACGGTTCACATAAGTGGAGGTGAAGGATGGACTGCTTAGCAAGGCGAAGACTGTTTGGATAAGAAAGGCGACGACCGTGTGGATCAGAAAGGAGATGACCGTGTGGATCAGGAAGGCGACAATAATGATGGTGATGCTGAAGACACGGATGCTACATATAATCAAGTTCCTCCTACTCAAGAACGAGCTCCAGCATAATCAAGAACTGCTGGCCCATCATCCAGTAGAACAAAAGCTAACAGGAAGAGATCAAGGGTTGTGCAATTAGGACAGGCTATAGCAGATGTTCTTTCTGACAAGAACAAGATGATAGGGAGCCACCCTAAGTTCAGTTGCAACCAGCTTGCAGCTATGGAAGCCTTGCACTCGTTGTCTGCTATCAAGCATTGGTCTCCTTTGTACAAAGCAGCTATCAACCATCTCAAGCAGGATCCTACCAATCGTCAGACCTTCTTGTTTCTTAAAGATGATGAGAACAAGGTTCTCTACTTGGAGTTTGCTACTGGTGAAAGTAGAGATGCATGAAGACTATCTTACTTGAAGTTTGAGTTTTCTAGTTCTTGTGTTTGAGTCTTCTAGTTCCTATGTTTCAATCTTCTAGTTCTTGTGTTTGAGTTTTCTTTGTTTTATGAGAACCATCTTTGTTTTATGAATCGACTTTGTTCTATGAGAATCAACTTTGTTCTGTGAGAATCATCTTTTATTTGGTGTATTGGTTCTGACACTTCAGGTTTTGTACTGGTTCTGATTTTTTAGGTGAAGTAGAAGCTTGCTGTGATTACAACGAGATGGATAATAATGTAAGTCTGTTACTATCTATTTCATGTTTTATAATGATCTGTTTCTTACATATGGTTTCTCATTTGCAGTACATATTAAGACTTCTCATTGGAGATGATGAGCTGGATTTGTTGTTTGATGAGAATCAGTACATATATACGCTTGTAGATGAAATGTTTGGAGTGTCAGAAGCTGATACAGATAGGCAATTAGTTAGGACAAACCGAGATTAGTTGTGCCTTAAAAATTTTTAGATGGAATCTTTTAGATGGATCTCAATCTCTTGTGTTAGTGCTATATGGTTAGTAAGGACAAACCGAGTTTTATTTATTACTGGCTCATGTTCCATAGAGTTATAAGTGGAATCTTTTAGATGGATCTCAGTCTCTTGTGTTGGTGCTATATGGTTGCTTATTGTATGCCTTAGTGTAGGACCTTTCATCACATTCTGTAGAAATGACATCGAAGATAAAAGTGATTCTTAAGCTTCTTAAACCAATTCATTGCAGGTGAAGGTTGGCGACGTGTGCAACGTTTTATGAACAGGTCTGAGGTACAATGCTATGAGATTCTACGCATGAACCAGGAAACATTTAAGAGTTTGTGTAAGGTGCTATCATAAAAGTATATTTTAAAGGAGACCCACAATGTTTTCGTTGAGGAGAGTGTTGCAATGTCCTTAGAGATGGTCAGACAAGATGCAACTGTACGGGTTATATCAAAGCATTATCAGCATTCAACTAACACTGTGAAAAGGAAGTTAGAACATGTATTAAGTTCTTGGCTCCTCGTGGTTTTAGATGGGTTGTTTGTTGTTGTATGCGCCTTTGGTGACCTTGTTCTTATTAACACATTAGTATTACACATTGGTAGATTACACATTGCTAAGAATAATCATTGCTGTATGTCTATAGGTATTAAGTTCTCTCTTGAAGCTTGCATCAGACATTGTGAAACCGACTAGGAATGAGTTCGCAACTGCTAATCCTTTTTTAGAAGGTAAACCGTAAATCGGCTCTGTCCCAATTTCAAGAGAGTATCTAACAATTGAAATAATGAAAAATATAACAAATAAGAAAGAGAGAGCAGTGTAAAGTTTCTAAAACTAGAAACTTTGAGAGTTCATGTAGAAACTCTTGTCCTAAATGTGCATTTATCATTGATTCATTTTATTTCACTTATATGATTATTTTTCCAAAAAATAATAGTAATACTTTATTTTTCAGATACTCATCATTATGTTACTATGATTATCGTACAAGGCGTAGTAATGTGATGAAAATATGATTAGAAGATGATGAAACATGTGCCGACTGTTGGTTTGTTGAAGTTGGTCGACTTATTCTTCAAACAAATAAATGTGCACACATTACTTCAATCATTCACATGATCAAACATGTAAAACAAGTCTGGCTTTTCACAAAAAAAAAATATGGCTTCTTTTTTTTTTGGTAAAGAAAACAACTCTGGCTGTCTTCAATCTTCTATACTGTTTGTCGAAGTGAGCTAATTATCAGTTATTATACGTCAAGAATTACACGCACGTATGCTCATTTCACTTGTTTTTCTTACATTTCTTTTTAGCAACAAATATAGTTTAAAATAACGTTTTCAGCACAGTTTGTATCTTTTAAAACTCATCTGCATAAAGGTCTCTGAGAAATCTTGACATTACTCTTCATTGTATCTCTTTCTCGTTTACAGAAGAGTTATTGATGTCAGATATATATAAAAAACTGGATTGATAAATACTCTACGAGAGGCTTACATTTGGACCACAAATCTAATGCACTCCCTTTCACTGGTTTAGAATAAAGTTTGTGCATGATTTACTTTGTGGATTGAAATACAAAATAAAATTACTAGCTAAGGTTTTTTTTCTTTACATCAAATAGAACTAAGGCGTTTTCTTTTCTTTTTCAACCAATACAGTTAAAATTATAAAAATAATTCTTCTCAAATAATTTAATATGTTATAGGTAAAAATCATTTGTGTCGGGATTCTGTGCATGGATCTCTATTTACATAAAATGTTGTTGTGAATCTGGAATAGTTTGTAATTATGCAATGTATAATGATGTTACAAATGACAAAATATTTACTGGAACAAGTATTTATGTTATCTTAAAATTTTCAATCATAAATAATATAAATTCTCAGTCTTCACTACAAGTTAATCCTTACAAATATAACTTTAGTTAATTATTATTCATCTATTATATTTTAGAAAACTTTAAAACATTTTTTTCCATAGAAAGAAAAATGAACTCTATACTTTAAATGGGCCGGGCTTAAATAGACAACACTATATAAGCCCAATGAAATCGTATTAGCCCCATCGAGCAGTGGTACAAAGGAGAAAAACACAACTAACATTTTGTCATATAAAAGCAAGTTTGAAACAAAAAACACAGACACACTTATTTAAGTTATGTTCTTCATCTCTCGTCTGCGCGCCAAAGAAACTGGCTTCTACAATACCTTCTTCTCCAAACAACTCTCTTCCTTATCCCCCCTGAATAAATCTCAAGATCTCGTTCTCGACCCTCGAATAGAAGACGACGCAATAGAATCAGAAGATCGTCGACGCAGCGTAACCGACAGAGCTTACTGGCGACGCCGAATACACAATCTCTGCTCCCTCCGTAAAAACCCCGACGAAGCTCTCCGAATCATCAACAACCTTTGCCTCCGCGGCTACCGTCCCGACTCGCTCAACCTCAGCAGTGTGATCCACGCGCTCTACGACGCGGGGAGATTCGAGGAAGCTCACCGTCGCTGTCTCCTCTTCGTCGCTTCGGGTTTCGTCCCCGACGAGCGAACCTGCAACGTTATAATCGCGAGGCTGCTTGATTCTAGGGATCCGGTGAGGACTTTGAGGGTTATACAACGTTTGATCGGTGCGAAGAGAGAGTTCGTGCCGTCTTTAACGAATTATAACCGTTTGATTAGTCAGATGTGTTTGGTGTATAGAGTGAGGGATGCGCATAAGCTTGTGTTTGAGATGAGGAGCAGAGGGCATTTACCGAATGTTGTGACTTACACGACTCTGATCGGTGGGTATTGTGAGATTCGTGAGGTTGAGGTTGCACATAAGGTGTTCGATGAAATGCGTGCGTGTGGTGTAAGGGCTAACTGTCTTACATTGAGTGTTATTATTAGTGGGTTTTTGAAGAGGAGGGATGTTGAAGCAGGACGGAAGATGATGGAGGAGCTTTGGGGAGAGATGAAGGATGAGAGTGATACATCTATAAAGTCAGCAGCTTTTGCGAATCTCATTGATTCTTTGTGCAGGGAAGGTTATTTCAACGATGTTTTCGAGATTGCAGAGGATATGCCACCGTGTGATTCCGTGGATGTTGAGTTTTCTTACGGGCATATGATGGATGCGTTGTGTAGATATAAGAGGAACCATGGAGCTGCGAGGATTGTTTATATAATGAAGTGTAAAGGGCTAAAACCTAGAAGTACGTCTTACAATGCTATCATTCATGGTTTGTGCAAGGATGATGGGTGTATGAGAGCTTATCAGTTGTTAGAAGAGGGATCTGAGTTTGGGTTTTTTCCGTCTGAGTATACTTATAAGCTCTTAGTGGAGAGTCTATGTAAGGAACATGACACTGGTAAGGCGAGGAATGTTCTAGAGCTGATGTTGAGAAAAGAAGGAACAGATAGAACTAGAATCTATAACATCTACCTACGAGCTCTCTGCGTAGTAGATAATCCAACAGAGATCTTGAATGTTATGGTCAGTATGCTTCAGGGAGACTGTAGGCCTGATGAGTATACGCTTAACACAGTTATTGATGGGTTTTGCAAAATGGGTAGAGTGGATGATGCTATGAAAGTTCTTGGCGATATGATGACAGGGAAGTTCTGCGCACCTGATGCTGTGACTTTAACTACTGTTATGTGTGGCTTGCTTACTCAAGGAAGAGCAGAGGAAGCTCTTGATGTGTTGAATCGAGTTATGCCGGAAAACGGGTTCAAGTCAAGTGTTGTTACATACAACGCTGTTATCCGTGGATTATTCAAGCTTTGTAAGGGAGATGAAGCTATGTGTGTGTTTAATAAGATGGCAAAGGCAGGTGTGAGCGCAGATAACACTACCTACGCTATTATCATTGACGGGTTGTGTGCGACTGATCAGGTGGATACGGCAAAGAGGTTATGGGACGATGTGATATGGCCATCGGGCAGACATGATGCGTATGTGTATTCAGCGTTTCTGAAAGGTCTTTGTCGGTTTGGTAGTCTAAGTGACGCTTGCCATTTCCTATACGAACTGACGGATTCTGGAGCGGTTCCTAATGTTGTGTGCTATAACATTGTGATTGATGAATGTAGTAGAAGTGGGTTGAGGAGAGAAGCATACCAAATTGTAGAGGAGATGAGGAAGAACGGTCAGGCCCCTGATG